TATATCAAAGTTATTTCAGCATTTATTATTCACTATCGACCGACTTGATAATGGCCCAGCATGGACCGAAAAGTCGGCCAGAGTTTCCTCTCCAGACTCTAAACTCTACATTAAACTGGTACATCAGTTAATTTTTATTGGTAATAAACGCAATTTTATTTTATATCCTCTCTGTGCTTTAGTCCTTTATTATCGATAGTTTAGCTGCGACTAGTAATGAATATATTAGTTCATTTCTTTATCCACTAGTTGTGCCTCTGGTTGTTGTGATGCAGTAGACCCGAACTAGCCGAGGCTCGAACTAGCCTAGGTTCGAACTAGCCTAGGCTCGAACTAGCCTAGGCTCGAACTAGCCTAGGCTCGAACTAGCCTAGGTTCGAACTAGCCTAGGATCGAACTAGCCTAGGTTCGAACTAGCCTAGGTTCGAACTAGCCTAGGCTCGAACTAGCCTAGGTTCGAACTAGCCTAGGTTCGAACTAGCCTAGGTTCGAACTAGCCTAGGCTCGAACTAGCCTAGGTTCGAACTAGCCTAGGTTCGAACTAGCCTAGGTTCGAACTAGCCTAGGTTCGAACTAGCCTAGGCTCGAACTAGCCTAGGTTCGAACTAGCCTAGGTTCGAACTAGCCTAGGTTCGAAATAGCCTAGGTTCGAACTAGCCTAGGCTCGAACTAGCCTAGGTTCGAACTAGCCTAGGTTCGAACTAGCCTAGGTTCGAACTAGCCTAGGTTCGAACTAGCCTAGGTTCGAACTAGCCTTGGTTCGAACTAGCCTAGGTTCGAACTAGCCTATGCTCGAACTAACCTAGGTTCGAACTAGCCTAGGTTCGAACTAGCCTAGGTTCGAACTAGCCTAGGCTCGAACTAGCCTAGGTTCGAACTAGCCTAGATTCGAACTAGCCTAGGCTCGAACTAACCTAGGTTCGAACTAGCCTAGGCTCGAGCTAGCCTAGGCTCCAACTAGCCTAGGTTCGAACTACCCTAGGCTCGAACTAACCTAGGTTCGAACTAGCCTAGGTTCGAACTAGCCTAGGCTCGAACTAGCCTAGGTTCGAACTAGCCTAGGCTCGAACTTGCCTAGGTTCGAACTAGCCTAGGTTCGAACTAGCCTAGGCTCGAACTAGCCTAGGCTCGAACTAGTCTAGATTCGAACTAGCCTAGGTTCGAACTAGCCTAGGCTCGAACTAGTCTAAGCTCGAACTACCCTAGGCTCGAACTACCCTAGGTTCGAACTAGCCTAGGTTCGAACTAGCCTATGCTCGAACTAGCCTAGGCTCGAGCTAGCTTAGGCTCGAACCAGCCTAGGCTCGAACCAGCCTAGGCTCCAACTAGCCTAGGCTCCAACTAGCCTAGACTCCAACTAGCCTAGGCTCCAACTAGCCTAGGCTCCAACTAGCCTAGGCTCCAACTAGCCTAGGCTCCAACTAGCCTAGGCTCCAACTAGCCTAGGCTCCAACTAGCCTAGGCTCCAACTAGCCTAGGCTCCAACTAGCCTAGGCTCCAACTAGCCTAGGCTTCAACTAGCCTAGGCTCCAACTAGCCTTGGCTCCAACTAGCCTAGGCTCCAACTAGCCTAGGCTCCAACTAGCCTAGGCTCCAACTAGCCTAGGCTCCAACTAGCCTAGGCTCCAACTAGCCTAGGCTCCAACTAGCCTAGGCTCCAACTAGCCTAGGCTCCAACTAGCCTAGGCTCCAACTAGCCTAGGCTCCAAGTAGCCTAGGCTCCAACTAGCCTAAGCTCCAACTAGCCTAGGCTCGAGCTAGCCTAGAGAAGAGGGACTGACCACCTCCGGGGTTGACGGACTGTTATCATCGTTACTACTACTGCCTCTGTATTTGACTGAAGAAATCTACTGTGTAGACAAAACTTCCCTCTACTCTTTCCTTATTGCAAGTTTATACGTCACAGCGGCGACTCCATCTTTCTCTCTCTCTCTCTCTCTCTCTCTCTCTCTCTCTCTCTCTCTCTCTCTCTCTCTCTCTCTCTCTCTCTCTCTCTCTCTCTCTCTATCTATCTATCTATCTATCTATTTATATATATATTTAGTTATTTATTTTGATGCTGTGAGCAAATCACTTTTCAATTTCCATGTTAAACAATTCCCATCTTCCCGTGTCTCTGTAACCGTGTGTAGTCAGCAGGATCTTCCAGGTGTAGTCAGCAGGATCTTCCAGGTGTAGTCAGCAGGATCTTCCAGGTGTAGTCAGCAGGATCTTCCAGGTGTAGTCAGCAGGATCTTCCAGGTGTAGTCAGCAGGATCTTCCAGGTGTAGTCAGCAGGATCTTCCAGGTGTAGTCAGCAGGATCTTCCAGGTATAGACAGCAGGATCTTGCAGGTGTAGTCAGCAGGATCTTCCAGGTGTAGTCAGCAGGATTTTATCTCTCTTTGGGTCATCTTGCATCATGCAGTCTCTCGTTGCGTCATCTTGCTTCATCCAGTCCTTCAGTCCTACACTGAGGGACTGATTACCTCATCTTCAATCTCTTCAGTCTTCTTTTTTTTATGCCTGTGTTGCACTGATACAGTCACTGGTGGGCCAAACCTCTATACAATGAAGATACCACTTGTAGCACATATATCTTATTTTGAACTTTGTCACTATTGTAAATACCACTGATGTCAACAAATAATAATAATAATAATAATAATAATAATAATAATAATATAATAATAAAATAATAATAATAATAATAATAATAATAATAATAATAATAATAATAATAATAATAATAATATTATTATTATTATTATTATTATTATTATTATTATTATTATTATTATTATTATTATTATTATTAATCTTTATTTCTACAAGTACATGTACAAGGTATACAGACCATAGCTGACATCAATGACATACTACTATATAGAAAGCCGCTTGTCATGCAGAGCATTTCGGGCAGATTAGGTAAATTTTGTCCCCAGGATGGGACCCACACCAGTCGACTAACACCCAGGTACCTACTTACTGCTAGGTGAACAAGTACAGCAGGTGTCTTAAGGAAACACCATCCCCCGAAATCTTCCCACCCGTACCGGAGATCGAACCACGAACATCAGTGTATGTAAGCTGAGTGAGCTACCATCCCAGCTACGGGACATATACTATCATATCAAAACTCTGTAGTAATGGACCGTAATGATGCCGTCTTGGATGCCAGAGTTCAGTGTTTGTTTACGAATTGGATGACGTCTGTAATTACTGTCTCCTGGTCACACTCTGAGGTCACAAGGAGACAACCACGGGAGTGTGGACGAGGGCGAGTCCCTGGTGACAGCTTGTGTCGAGACAGCTGTCTTTCAGCCGAGTTGTCAGTCTGATAGAACGGTCTCTCATATATTGCGCCATTGTTGTTTTAGAGGCAATAAAATCAGCCAATAATCATCACCTCCTTGTTAATTTATATTCCTTTATTTTCATTATGAGAGAGGGAGAGAGAAAAGAGAGAGAGAGAAAGAGAGAGAGAGAGAGAGAGAGAGAGAGAGAGAGAGAGAGAGAGGAGAGAGAGAGAGGAGAGAGAGAGAGAGAGAGAGAGAGAGAGAGAGAGAGAAGAGAGAGAGAGAGAGAGGAGAAAGAGAAGAGAGAGATCTTGTGTAAAAACAGGAGAGAAAGAGAGAACCTGCGTAAAGAGAAAGAGAGAAAGAGAGAGAGAGAGAGAGAGAACCTGTATAAAGATAGAAAGCGAGAGGAAGCGAGAGAGAGAGAGAGAGAGAGAGAGAGAGAGAGAGAGAGAAGAGAGAGAGAGAGAGAGAGAGAGAGAGAGAGAGAGAGAGAGAGAGAGGAGAGAGAGAGAGAGAGAGAGAGAGAGAGAGAGAGAGAGAGAGAGAGAGAGAGAGAGAGAACACTGTGCTAAGAGTTATATCAGCCTGGGGAAACTGATGACAGGAACATTTGCTCCTGAGAAAACAAATGATGATGGTCTCTAGGCACCATGATGGTAATGCTGGTGCAGTGGCACCATGATGGTAATGCTGGTGCAGTGGCACCATGATGGTAATGCTGGTGCAGTAGTAAGTATGAATGGGAGAGTGTTGGTAACTGGAGACGAAACTGATATTCTTGGGGTGAAATCTGACTCCAAACTGACCATGAAAAACCACGCTGTAAATCTTGCAAACAAGGCGGCCAGGAAGCTTACAGCACTTCGATATATCTCGCATCTGCTTGACAGTAGAAGTTGCAAAATTCTGTACAAGGCACAAGTACGGTCACAGCTTGAGTATGCTCCACTTTCTTGGACTGCCTGCCCCCCTATCCCATCTACGACTTCTTGATAGAATAGAGAACAGAGCAAGACGACTCATCTCTCGCCTGGATCCAGCATAGATGACCTGTCACTTCAGCAGAGCCTTCAACACCGGAGTGTTATGCGTGGCCTTACTGTTATGTACAAGGCCAATATTGTCAAAGTACTACACACCTGGCTCCACTTCGAGGACAGCTAGAAGCGAGCTTCTACACCACAAGACGGGCAACAAGCAGCAACCAGTCTAATTGTACCCTTCTCCTATACATCACTTCATCTGAGATCATTTATTCCCAAGATGACTCGAGTATGGAACACATTCGTACAGGATAATGATGTCAACGAGATAAAGTCAGTTGATCAAATGAAATTGCTGGTCCACAGATGGCTCCAACGTCATCCTGTCCCGTACTTGTATGTCTCATAACAATAAAAAGGCTTTTAAATGAGCTGATGTAGGTAACTGCTCTTAGCTTGCAAATGAAGTTAGGAATCCTTGCCCTAACCTTGTTAAATCTTGTGTAAAGAGAGAGAGAGAGAGAGGGAGGGAGGGAGGGAGGGAGGGAGGGAGGGAGAGAGATAGCGAGGAGTGAAGGGAAGAAGAAAGAATGAGAATGAGTGTAGTAAGAGAAGAAAAAGAGAGGCAAAACAAAAACAAAAAATAATTGCATGTAATAATTGCAGCAGAAAGAGAGAGACGAAGATAGGTTAATAAAGAGAGACAAACAAACAGAACCAGTAAGTAATGTACTCACCCCAGTTATCGTCGTCAACAATTGATGAGTGTGTGGGTAGCATCTCGGAGGGCGTGGGCAGCGTCTTGGAGGGCGTGGGCAGCGTCTTGGAGGGCGTAGGCAGCGTCTTGGAGGGCGTGGGCAGCATCTTCTCAGATTCTTCGCCCTCCACCACGCCCGCCAACATCGCCAACATCACCAACAACGCCAACCACCTCTCCCTCTCTGTCCCCAACATTCTCCAACACTAAAGTCGCCTCGCTGAGTGAAGTGCTCCAGACAGTCTCAGGTGGAACCAGGGATACCGATTTAACGTCACTTTCCGTAATTTAATGTCACTTTCTGTGATTTAATGTCACTTTCTGTGATTTAATGTCACTTTCTATAATTTAATGTCACTTTCTATAATTTAATGTCACTTTCTGTAATTTAATGTCACTTTCTGTGATTTAATGTCGCTTTCTATAATTTAATGTCACTTTCTGTGATTTAATGTCACTTTCTATAATTTAATGTCACTTTCTATAATTTAATGTCACTTTCTATAATTTAATGTCACTTTCTTAAGTCTGAAAGTGCCACTTTCGAGTGACTTAGTCACTTTCTCACAATTCATAGACACTTTCTAGAGATTTAATGGCACTTTCTAACAAATAACTGTTATGTGCACTATTATTCGTCACATCATGATAAAGTTAAACTTTCTAAATTCTCATCAGTATTTTTGAGAACTTTGTATATATGTAGCACAGAGTTCATAGATGACGAAATCTTGAAGATTTATGAAATACCTAATAATAAAAAATACACAAAATACTTCATTGATAAATACTTTAAAATTGCTATAAATACTTTTTTGCAGTTCTGAAAGGGCCAAACAATCATTTTCAACCAAGAATATGATGGCTCTCTCCTTACCATAAAAACCTTCTTGATATACCTTCTTGATATACCTTCTTGATATACCTTCTTGATATACCTTCTTGATATACCTTCTCTATTTAAGAATTTTAAAATCAAAGTTGTATTTAAAAATCTTGATAGAGTAAAAAAAAAAACTTTTGATTTGAGATTCCCCCAATGATTGCTGACTGCTGTGTCTTCAAGATTCCTTGTAAAACACGTGATTAAGTTTATTACGGACAAACTGGGAAAAGTCTTGAACTAAGATTACAACAACATAAAAAATAGCATTAGAATTTGACAAGAGTTTAGTGCTCTGTTTATTCACGTGAGAGATTATGACCACCCAGTTGATTTTCAAAAAGCCGAGAAAGCTGTAACAAGCAGGTCTATGGTTGAGAGAGATATAATTGAAAGAAAATAATTAAAATAAAATCATTTTGATCTGAATATGAATATTGGTTTAAGGAATGTTTGACAAGACCTTGACCATCTCACCCTCATCATCATAAAGGGTCAGGTCAGGTGTCGGAGGTTGACCCTGAGCAGCTATCTCAACCTTGTGATATTATTGCAGTTTTTTAACCAACTAGCCGCGTCCCACCTAGGCAGGGTGACCCAAAAAGAGAAACATGCATAAAAGAATATATATTAAAACGTATAAGAGAACATTTTAGAAAGGACTTAATTTTAAATGAGTTTTTGCTGTAACCGAACCAAGTAACTGCTGCAGCAAATAGATGCCTGGAAAACCTAAGAACATCATTTCAACACCTGAGTAAGGAGTCATTCAAGACACTGTACACCGTGTACGTCAGGCCCATACTGGAGTGTGCAGCACCAGTATGGAACCCACACGAGTCACGAAATCGTAATGACACGATTGCAAACAAACCATACCACGGGTGGGGTTTGAGCCCGCGGTCAGAGAGTCTCAAAACTCTAGACCGTCGCGTTAGCCACTGAGCCAGTTAGCTTTAATAAGAGTCATCCAACTAGCTGGCCATCTAACTGGCCCAGTGGCTAACGCGACGTCTGGAATTTTGAGACTCTCTGACCGCGGGTTCAAACCCCACCCGTGGTATGGTTAGGAACCCACACCTGGTCAACCACGTCAAGAAATTATAGAAAGTGTAAAGTTTTGCAACAAGACTAGTCCAGGATCTAAGGGGTACATCCTACGAGGAGAGGTTAAGGGAAATCAACTTGACGACACTGTAGGACAGGAGAGACAGGGGATGGGACATTATAACATATACAATAATGAGAGGAATTGACATGGTAGACAGAGACAGGATGTCTCAGAGATGGGACACAGAAACAAGGGGTCACAACTGGAAGTTGAAAATTCAAATGGCCACAAGGATGTTAGGAAGTACAAGTATTTCTTCAGTCATAGAGTTGTCAGGAAGTGAAACAATCTGGAGAGTGATGTAGTGGAGGCAGGATTCATACATAACTTTAAGAAGAGGCATGACAAAGCTCATGGAGCAAGGAGAAAGTTGACCTAGTAACGGCCAGTGAAAAGGCGGGTCCAGGAGCTGTGAATCGACCCCAACAACCACAAATAGGTGAGCACACACACACACACACACACAAGCTACCTACTACCATAAATATCAGAAAGCAATACCACTGCCACACACACACACACACACGTTCTCTCTCTATATAAAATAACTCAACTATTCTTACCGCACCTCCACAAATGGTGTTATTGAGGCCGCTCTCACACGCTCTCACACGCTCTCACACGCTCTCACACGCTCTCACACGCTCTCACACGCTCTCACACGCTCTCACACACTCTCTCACATTTCTCACGCACTCTCGCTAACAGCTTATTCTATCACTACACTCTACTTAAGCTTTCCTTAATACCTTCTTAAAGCCTTATAATTATTATTTTATTATTATTGTTATTATTATTATTATTATTATTATTATTATTATTATTATTATTATTATTATTATTATTATTATTTATTATTATTATTATTATTATTATTATTATTATTATTATTATTATTATTATTAATAATAATATTGTTATTATTATTATTATTATTATTATTATTATTATTATTATTATTGTAATCATTATTTTATTATTATTATTATTATTATTATTATTATTATTATTATTATTATTATTATTTTATTAGTAGTATTATTAGAGTTATTATTATTCTTATTGTAATTACTATTACTATTATTGGTAGTAGTGTTACTATCATTATTTTATTCTACTTCTTATGATTATTATTGATAGTAGAAGTAGTTATACTAGTAATAGCAGTAGTTATAGTAGTAATAGCAGTAGTTATAGTAGTAATAGCAGTAGTTATAGTAGTAATATTAGTAGTTATAGTAGTAATAGCAGTAGTTATAGTAGTAATAGCAGTAGTTATAGTAGTAATAGCAGTAGTTATAGTAGAAATAGCAGTAGTTATAGTAATTAGTAGTTATAAATGCATGTTATAGTAGTATATTAGTAGTTATAGTAATAGCAGTAGTTATAGTAGTAATATTAGTAGTTATAGTAGTAATAGCAGTAGTTATAGTAGTAATATTAGTAGTTATAGTAGTAATAGCAGTAGTTATAGTAGTAATAGCAGTAGTTATAGTAGTAATAGCAGTATAGTGTTATTAGTGGTAAATAGCAGTAGTTATAGAGTAATAGCAGTAGTTATAGTAGTAATATTAGTAGTTATAGTAGTAATAGCTAGTAAGTAGTTATAGTAGTTAGTAATAGCAGTAGTTATAGTAGTAATATTAGTAGTTATAGTAGTAATAGCAGTAGTTATAGTTAGAGTAATAAGTATAGAGTTATAGTAGTAATATGCAGTAGTTATAGTAGTAATAGCAGTAGTTATAGTAGTAATAGCAGTAGTTATAGTGGTAATAGCAGTAGTTATAGCAGTAATAGCAGTAGTTATAGTAGTAATATTAGTAGTTATAGTAGTAATAGCAGTAGTTATAGTAGTAATAGCAGTAGTTAGTTAGTGGGTAATAGCAGTAGTTATAGCAGTAATAGCAGTAGTTTAGTAGTATAATATTTAGTAGTTAGAGTGTTATAGTAGTAATAGCAGTAGTTATAGTAGTAATAGCAGTAGTTATAGTAGTAATAGCAGTAGTTATAGTGGTAATAGCAGTAGTTATAGCAGTAATAGCAGTAGTTATAGTAGTAATATTAGTAGTTATAGTAGTAATAGCAGTAGTTATAGTAGTAATATTAGTAGTTATAGTAGTAATAGCAGTAGTTATAGTAGTAATAGCAGTAGTTATAGTGGTAATAGCAGATTTGTTATGTGTGTATGTAGTTATAGCAGTAATAGCAGTAGTTATAGTAGTAATATTAGTAGTTATAGTAGTAATAGCAGTAGTTATAGTAGTAATAGCAGTAGTTATAGTAGTAATAGCAGTAGTTATAGTGGTAATAGCAGTAGTTATAGCAGTAATAGCAGTAGTTATAGTAGTAATAGCAGTAGTTATAGTAGTAATAGATTATGTTATAGTAGTAATAGCAGTAGTTATAGTAGTAATATTAGTATTATAGTAGTAATAGCAGTAGTTATAGTAGTAATATTAGTAGTTTATAGTAGTAATAGCAGTAGTTATAGTAGTAATAGCAGTAGTTATAGTAGTAATTATTAGTATTTATAGTAGTTAATAGCAGATAGTTAATAGTAGTATATAATTAGTAGTTATAGTAGTAATAGCAGTAGTTATAGTAGTAATATTAGTAGTTATAGTAGTAATAGCAGTAGTTATAGTAGTAATATTAGTATTTATAGTAGTAATAGCAGTAGTTATAGTAGTAATATTAGTAGTTATAGTAGTAATAGCAGTAGTTATAGTAGTAATATTAGTAGTTATAGTAGTTAATATGCAGTAGTTATAGTAGTAATAGCAGTAGTTATAGTAGTAATAGCAGTAGTTATAGTAGTAATAGCAGTAGTTATAGTAGTAATATTAGTATTTATAGTAGTAATAGCAGTAGTTATAGTAGTAATATTAGTAGTTATAGTAGTAATAGCAGTAGTTATAGTAGTAATAATTAGAAATACTAGTTATAGTAGTAATAGCAGATAGTTTAGTGTTATGTAGTAATATTAGTAGTTATAGTAGTAATAGCAGTAGTTATAGTAGTAATAGCAGTAGTTATAGTAGTAATAGCAGTAGTTATAGTAGTAATAGCAGTAGTTATAGTAGTAATAGCATGTTAGTATATAGTAGTTGTAATAGCAGTAGTTTAGTAAAGTAGTTAATAGCTAGTAGTTATAGTAGTAATAGCAGTAGTTTAGTTATAGTAGTAATAGCATGTATGTTATAGTAGTAATAGCAGTAGTTATAGTATAATAGCAGTAGTTATAGTAGTAATAGCAGTAGTATATAGTAGTATAATAGCAGTAGTTATAGTTAGTATTATTAGTAGTTTATAGTAGTAATAGCAGTAGTTATAGTACTAATATTAGTAGTTATAGTAGTAATAGCAGTAGTTATAGTAGTAATAGCAGTAGTTATAGTAGTAATAGCAGTAGTTATAGTAGTAATAGCAGTAGTTATAGTAGTAATAGCAGTAGTTATAGTAGTAATACAGTAGTTATAGTACTAATATTAGTAGTTATAGTAGTAATAGCTAGTTAGTACTAATATTAGTTATATATAAGCTAGTTATAGCTATATTAGTAGTTATAGTATAATAGCAGTAGTTATAGTAGTAATACAGTAGTTATAGTACTAATATTAGTAGTATATAGTATAGCAGTATTATATATTAGTTTAGTGTTTGATTAGTACTAATATTAGTAGTTAAGTAGTAATAGCAGTAGTTATAGTAATAGCAGTAGTTATAGTAGC